CTTATATATATGCATTACAGAAAAAAATAAAACATTTAGAAAATCCACTATGTGTGGAATATCAAACTTTCCTTGAGGTCTGTGCTCAGTTCAACCAGAAAATTAAAATTATAGTTTCTTCTTTTAATAATAAAGTAGTCAAAATTGGCAAAATGTGTTAATAGCACATCTCCCTATGCTTTAATTGAAAACATGTTACATTTACTGTATGTTAAAAAAATGCAATGGCAATAAAAGTACTTAGCTGATCACATAAAAGAAAAGAGCAATAGTACATGTTTCCAACATTAAAGGCACAATATATCTGATTTTCAATGATTCATGCACTATACTTCTGACCTAGTACCAACTTCCTCAAAACTATTAACCCTTTGACTTTTTTTGGGTCAATATATACGTCTTACAAGCCAGGTTTTTGGACGTATATAACTCTATAATTCTAGCGGCTTAAAAATCAAGCAGGAGAAAGATGGTAGCCCACATGGGGAGAGATGGGTCTGTGGGTCAGTGTGCACCACATAAAAAAAAATCCTGCAGCACGCAGTGCATAATGAGAAAAAAAAACTAAACCATTTTTTTGGATTAAAACGCCGACTCTGAGGTGTATTTTCGTATAGTATTTATCGTTGTACTCTCATTTTCATGGTATGGTCTCACATGATAAAATGGAAAACATATTGCAGAAACAAAAGATGTTTTTGATTGGTTTCAACGATGAAAACGACCTTGAAATTGAGCTCAAAGGTAGGGGAAATGTTCGATTTTTACCAATGTTCATTAGAAAGCAAATTACACCACATGTCCAATACAAAATCAACTGGGAGTCTAATTTTCCCTTTCACTAGTGCACTGATATTATTTAAACCATTTTTACAATAATGCAATAGCCCTGCATATCAGTAAATTTTGTATCTTTTTGTATGAATAAAAAATCAAAATAGAAAGCAATTGTAATAGAGAGGCCTAGAGATGTGGCTAATGAACAGAGGACATGTTATTTTTAGTGCCAAGAATGTCTACATTGTTTATTCTGGACCCTATTTTGAAATTGACATCTTTTTTAATTTGCGGAAATTGGCCCAAAATTTAAATCAATTTCTGACCACTTTATTGGGTAGTTCAAATTGGTAAATGGGGGGTTTCTTGTACTCAATTGATAGAAAAAATGGAGTTCTAAAGAAATAGCTATGAATTTGGTCAACTTGAAAAATGGAGTTGGCCAAAAACAGGGCTCAAAGTGGGCGAAATCGCTGATGCATGTATGTTGCCGAGACCGCTAACTTCACGGGAGCGTAATTCCATGAGTTTTCGACCAAATTTTGTATTTTTTGGTGTCATTACCATCGGAAAAATTATCTCTATCATTTCATAAGAAAAAATAAATTTGTTTTTCCAAAAATTTTGCAACAAAAATGATTTCAGAAAGGGGCTTGCGACAGTCAAAGGGTTAAATTAATGATGTAAAATTTGCCAATTTTTAAATCGGGCATTTAATAATCTTGCATAACACACTAAGAAACCCGAATGCAGGGATAGATACATTATACCGAATCTGTAAATAATTTTAAGTCCCCAGCTGAAATCCCCATTTCTTTTCTAGAGCTCGGCTGCTGACGATCGACTGTCACCCTGAATATATACCTTCATATTCTTTTTTTTTGTTGTTTGCTGAATTTATGGGCTGGTGTGTGAGTGCTAGTGAATTTCTTGAAAGAACAGGTGCTAGAAATATACAATCCCAAATTATTATTACGTTATTATTATTAAATGAGGTGGGGAACACTATCAGCTTTTGCACTGCCGTGAATATTTGGAGACACTGTAGTCTTTTTGGAAGACTATATTGACTAGAGCTTGCCAACCCTACATAAATCCTATGGCATCATAACTCACACTGAAAAGGCACATTTTTTTTATCAGTTTCATGTTACTATAAAAGGCACATTCATCAACTGTACCAAATCACATGGTACTGTATGACAGGTTATTCATCTACCAAGTTACATGGTAAAACAATAAGTGTATTCATCTACCAAGTTACATGGTAAAACAATAATGTATTCATCTACCAAGTTACATGGTACAATAATAGATATAGTCATCTACCATGTTACACGGAACTATAGTAAAATAACATTCATCTACCAATTACATGGTAATCCGATTTTTTATAAAAATTCAGTTCATTTTAAAATAAGCCACGGTTCTAAGGAGGCCATCTGATGATGTGCCCACATATTTCTTTTTTTTTTTTATATCTCTTGCATTGATCCCAAAAAAATTTCTAGACAAGCAATATTCAGTATTAATACCACGAAAGCTGTGGAGCTGAGAGAGTACTGGGACAGAAAGGTCATTCAACACAATACTAAGCTTCTTACATCCATTCACAACATAGGCACATTAAAAGTTGAAAGTGAACATAGAAAAGAGTAAGGTGATGAGGGTATCAAATGATTTAGATAAAGAAAAATTGGATATCAAATTGGGGAGGAGGAGTATGGAAGAAGTGAATGCTTTCAGATACTTGGGAGTTGACGTGTCGGGGGATGGATTTATGAAGGATAGGTTAATCATAGAAATGATGAGGGGAAAAAAAGGGGAGTGGTGCGTTGAGGGATAGTGGAGACAAAAATTTTTATTTTTGGAGACAAAGAAGGGAATGTTGAAAGTATAGTAGTACCAACACTCTTATATGGGTGTGAAGCTTGGGGTTGTGAATGCAGCAACGAGGAGGCGGTTTTGGGGGCATGGAGATGTCCTGTCTAAGGGTGTGTGGTGGGGAAAAATTATGCAGAAAATTCGGAGTGGGGGAAATTAGGAGAAGGTGTGGAGTTAATAAAAGTTTTTAGTCAGAGGGCTGAAGAGGGTTGTTGAGGTGGTTTGGGCATTTAAAAGAGAATGGGTCAAAGTAGAAGACATGGAGAGCATATAAATCTGTAGGGAAAGGAAGGCGGGGTAGAGGTCGTCCTCGAAAAGGTTGAGGGAGGGGGTAAAGGGTTTTGTGGGCGAGGGCTTGGACTTCCAGCAAGCGTGCGTGAGCATGTAGATAGGAGTGAATGGAGACAAAATGGTATTTGGGGCCTGACGATCTGTTGGAGTGTGAGCAGGGTAATATTTAGTGAAGGGATTCAGGAAACCGGGTTAATTTTTATATAGCCGGACTTGAGTCCTGGAAATGGGGAAATACAATGCCTGCACTCTAAAGGAGGGTTCAGGAATTATCAGCAGTTTGGAGGGATATGTTGTGTATCTTTATAGGTATATGCTTCTAAGCTGTTGTGTTCTGAGCACCTCTGCAACAACAGTGATTATGTGTGAGTGAGGTGAAAGTGTTGAATGATAATGAAAGTATTTTCTTTTTTAGGAAATTTTTTTTTTTTTTTTTGGGTCAAACCCCGCCTCGTGGAGACGGCTGACTTGTTAAAAAAAAAAAAAAAACATACATCAGCCTTACATCCATTTGCAATATACACACATTCAAGCTCCAAAATGTTAAAATAGCACCAGAGTCCTAAAAATAAAAAATAAATAAATAAAATCATAATAAATTCAAAACATCTCAGTTATTAAATAAAAGTTATCAAGTCAATCATACTAAAAGTTTCCCTCTATGGTGGCCCAGGCCTGGTGGCTAAAGCTCCCGCTTTACACAGGAGGCCCGGGTTCTATTCCCAGTGGTGGAAGCATTTCGAAAGCGTTTCCTTATACAGTGGACCCCCGCATAACGATTAACCTCCGAATGCGACCAATTATGTAAGTGTATTTATGTAAGTGCGTTTGTACGTGTATGTTTGGGGGTCTCAAATGGACTAATCTACTTCACAATATTTCTTATGGGTACAAATTCGGTCAGTACTGGCACCTGAACATACTTCTGGAGTGAAAAAAAATCGTTAACCGGGTCCACTGTACCCGTTTTCCTGTTTACCTAGCAGCAAGTAGGTACTTGGGTGTTAGTCGACTGGTGTGGATCGCATCTTGGGGGACAAGATTAAGGACCCCAACGGAAATAAGTTAGACGGTTCTCGATGACGCACTGACTTTCTTGGGTTATCCTGGGTGGCTAACCCTCCGGGGTTAAAAATCTGAAGAAAATCTTTTCTTAAAATGTCACCGATACCTCTATGGGCACTCAGGTTATTATAAAGTCCATGACTAAAATGGTAAGACTGGAGCCAAGGAAGTGATATTAAAATATAGTTCATGGTCAGCAACAACAAGATGCACAGAAAGGTAAAGAATTACCCTCAAGCAAGTGTCCTATGGGTGAACTGAGTGTGATCTATCTTTAAGCTAAAGAAACCAATCTCACAGTAGTAATTTCTGTGTAATGAGGGCTGGACACCCACATCCTGCTAAAAACCCCGTACAGTTGGCTTCTTGTCTCAATACCCAATAGGGACTACTACTTTTCCCATTCCAAAATCATATAGAGGTCAGCCATCACTGATCCAGCAATCATTAATCTGGCTCCATCACTAAACTGGTACTAAATTTCAGCTAGCATAATTTCAAATTTTATGGGTCACTGCACCCAAACCCGCGGCAACAAGAAACAAAAAAATGAACGTTTACATGCTGCAGGATAAACTAATCAAAGAAAGGCCAAAATATATGAAACTGCTCAGCTTGCAAGATATGTTCAAAAAAATAGCTAAAAAGTTTTGCAACAGAGGAGTCACCACTTGAAAATCAAGTGCCTTCAACATCTGTTCAACTAGATATGCTGCCACTGTCATCATCAGTTCCTCATATCTCAGTCCACCTTCCAAGATGAAGAGGATGCAAATCCTGACAGCCCTTCATCCCAAGAAGATGGCAATCCTGACAGCCTTCACCTCAAGAAGATGGCAATCCTGACAGCCCTTCAAGACTTGTAAATGTGCTTAGTTTGTGAATTTCAGCTCTTCACTTTGGAAGCAGCAGTGATGAGGTTTCTTGTGTACGTCAAGTTTGTTTAACTTTATTAACCAAATTGTACTGATTACAGGGTATCTTAAAGGTAAGATGAGGTGGTTAGCTGTTGGATTAAGTGTATTCTAGCTTAATCACCCTGTGATCTGGCAAAGTCACTAATCCAGCACCCTACAGGTCCCACTGATGCCAGATTAGCGATGGTCAACCTGTATTCAGCTCAAAAAAAAAAGTCACCAGGGTAAAAGTCTGCAGTAAAGAGCAATGAGTGCAGTAGCTTTTACCTTTACATTAATATCAGAGAGCAATATGAAACATCCTCATTCATTTTCAAGATACTGTACATCATAATATTCTTTCTTCTTTCAACAAACCGGCCGTATCCCACCGAGGCGGGGTGGCCCAAAAAAGAAAAACAAAAGTTCTCTTTTTAAATTTAGTAATTTATACAGGAGAAGGGGTTACTAGCCCCTTGCTCCCGGCATTTTAGTCACCTCTTACAACATGCATGGCTTACGGAGGAAGAATTCTGTTCCACTTTCCCATGGAGATAAGAGGAAATAAACAAGAACAAGAACTAGAAAGAAAATAGCAGAAAACCCAGAGGGGTGTATGTATATATATGCTTGTACATGTATGTGTAGTGTGACCTAAGTGTAAGTAGAAGTAGCAAGACGTACCTGAAATCTTGCACATCATAATATACATAGATCTAATTGTGCTCTACCCCAATGAAATATTTTTATATTCACAAAAATGTGCTCAACCCAGGTTGGTTGTTATTTGGTGTTTCTTCACAATGGAGCTACCCTGGCATGTTCAGTGTGTCTAAAAAGCTACAGTATATTGGCAGAGTCATCTCCTGATAAGGCTTCCAATGGTGACCTGATCTTCACGGGAGTAAATTAAATGGCATACATGTGTGATTATCTTCTTGTAATTTTCTATAATGCCTTCACACCCCTTCAACACGTTTTGAAGTTACCTACTTCAGTGCTGGTGGTTTCTCTTTCTAAGTGTTGTATGGGCATCAGTAATGTGACATATGTGCATTTTAGGCAAGACAGCTACTGAATGAGTGAAGGTGAATGTGTCCTCAATTACATTCACCTACCTTGGTGAGAAACACCTAATTGTAAAAAAAAAAATTCATTCAAGGGAGGTATCATGATGCCAGTGAGGGCTCCTAGTTCATGGAAGAATTATGCCTAACTACCCCTTCAAACAAACCTGATTGCCTTCCAAGGCTGTGTGTGACCCTTACAAGTTTACCATTTCCCCATAAATATAACACTAACAAGAAACAATAAAAGTATACTGGATGGAAAAAGTTATAATGGAAAACAAACAAAATATAAAAGCAAAAATTTTGGAACCTCAGAAGTGTAAAAGTACCAACACCCTTCAACACCAAATACTTCTCATGTCCTAAACACTGCATGACCCCTACTGGGTTAGTGCTTCTCTTTGATTATAGTAATAATACATATCAACATTTTGTACTGCAAGATGGAACAATCATTACAGTTCCTCCATATATGATCAAACCAGTCAGTTTCCAAATAGATGAACAATAATTTATAGAAAAAAGAGCACTGATACAATGCATACCTTTAACTGCAGAGAACTACTGTAATAATCCAAGTTTATATTTTCACTATGAAATCTGAGTGAATTTCATAAAAAAGTGCACTATGTCATGACCCAAGAAATTGAAACAATATGATTGCAGACAAATTAGGGACCAGGTGGGATTTGAATCCATGCCATGGATTCACACCCCGCCTGTTCCCTGATTTGTCATTATATTATTACTGACAAATGGATTGACATTTATAAAAAATATTTAAAGCTACACTATTTTGTTTTCCTCTTCACATTACTAAAACATTAATGAATCACTGAATGCAAATATTTATTAGTGCAAGATATATATCAATATATGTTGCCTATATATTTGTCACTCTATCTTGGTGGGAAATGGCTGATTGGTAGGGTGGACCCTAAGGATTTAGCCCTTCCCCTCTCCTGAATAAAGTAATAATATCCCAAAAGAGTAATACCACATCATTTAATTATGGTTTTGTGCCACCATAACCATGTCACTTTTCTTTTGCCAAGGTAGGCAATGGCAAAGGCCAACAAATGGAAATAAAGATTCTCTGCTACCAGCATCTTCATTTCCTTTTATTTGCCTTTTGGGGTTGAAGTAGTTATCTTCGATGGTAAGACTTTGGCTTTGTGTCTGCGAGCACGTGCTTTGCTTGGGGTGCCTTCAATGTCAGATATAAAGCTGATGTCTCCAGATCTTGATGGAACTGCAATAACCTGTAAGATTTAAATTAAATATTTGTTAGATATACATTATATTCACAAATAATAAAAGTGAAAGAAGTGGTAAGATATCTGTAAAATGCACAACAATATCAACTCCCACCTATCATCATCCTCAAAACTGTATGTACTCTTAGTCTTCATAACTAACCTCTCTTTTTGTGTTTTTTTAATTTATCAGCCTCAACAGAAATTAGGCAGAAATTAGAAGACTGGGATCAAGCCTTGTGAGGAACAGTTCAATAGATAGGAGTAACAATATAGTAACAAGTTTTCATTATCGGCTACTAGTTAAGGGTTAGGGACTAAGTCACCTCCCGCCTTTCCATCCCCCTCCCGAAAGTGATAGTGTCATTGCCGGCTACTAGTTAAGGTACGGGTAAGCATGCTCCCTATTTCCCGCCTTTTCTCCCCCCCCACCCCTAACCCTTTGAGGTCGACAGCCCTCTCCGAAACACGTTCTCAGGGTCGCCAAATTTCAAAAAAAAAAAAAAAATTAATTGGTATTTTCTTAATGAAAAAAATAGAGTATTTTTTTTCTAACATTATAGCCTAAACAAAAAAAATTTAACGTCAATACTTACCGAGATATGAGGGTGTTGAAATTTGCCAAAATAAACGATCTTCTGTAACAGCGCCGATGCCGTCACCCGTATTTTTCTATTTACTTTTTTATGTACTATTTTCAATTTTTTTTCAATTTTTTCTTTTTCTGAGTAAACTTTTATGGCTTCTGAGGCAACAAGATCAGTATTTTGTAAGTTATTTCTTTTTCAATCTACACATTAAGGGCGTAAACACTGTTGTCATTATTTTTGTTATACAGAAAATATTTACACAAACAAACAATATGAAAATGTTGTTTATTACTATTTTACTATATTTATATATACACCATAACAGTCACGGACATGTTTCTAGAAGTTTCTGCAGCCTGTGGAAGTCTTGAAACATGGTGGTCCTGCACATGGCGTTTTGCACTCCTCACACATAAAACGATGTCCTCTGCGTTGTCGTGGGCGTTTTTTTGTATGTGAACAGACTAACTCCTCCTTCTACCTTTTTCGTCAAAGCAGTACAGGCAGTTTTTTACCAGGAAGTGATCACATGCTTCAGACAGCAGGTATTGTTTGATAATTTGTGGGCGTCAATTGCAGGTGCATTTCCTTGTACTTGAAAACTATTTGTCTGATGACAGACAAACAGAATTCGCCGTATCTGTGGTTTGTTTCTGGTGCTCATCTTATACATATTATAAGCATGAGCTCATGGAACTGTCCAGAAGATGGAAAAACAGTTTTGATGTACCACTTATAACTCTTGCGAACACAATCAGCAAACCCAATCTGCATGCACATTTGTCCACTGAACGCATGTTGAAGGAGTAATCTATCACAGCTGCAGTTTTAGAATGGGTCATTTCTCTCTCTAAGTCTGCCTGCCACTGTCTGCCATTTCATTAGGTGGTGAATTGATGACAACATTGTGACCTCTCGTTTGTTCATGCCACCGAAATGCCATGAGTCATTGGCAGCAAACGCCAGCACCTCACCTCTGCGATTGCCCAGCATCAAACCTGGGCATAATGTTTCGATTGCACGCACTGTGCCACCACATCTGTCATTTTCACTCGCAAAAAATCACTGAGTGAGGGGCTTGTGTTCCATTTACTGTATAATAATATATGCCCTACACGTAGGTTCTATCTTGTTCGAACCACATCACCTGAATTCCCAATAACTTCCTGTATTTTGCAATGTAAAACTTCCAGTGTACACAATAATATCCAATACCAACCACTGTAACAATCACATAGCAAACAAACAACTTTTAAACCAAAGCGTTCCTCTATGCTTGGTATGTACTGCTTGAAAGAGAGTCATTCCTTTGAACAGAATCAAAGACTCGTCAATAAACAACTTCCTGAAGGATAAAAAAGAGTAACTGAATTTCTGTTTCAGATACACAAACACATTCCTACTCTTATATAACCTGTCAGTCTGCCAGGACTGGTTTTATCTGAGAAGTGAAGCATACGTAACATTGCACAAATCGATTCACTGGGCATTAATCACTGAAACCTGGTGTTGCAATCAGGGGGTCTGTTGACCAGTATGATTTCACTTTGTGCTTACACACATGTTGCATAAGCATTATTGGTGGCAAAGAAAAGATACAGCTCACCCACAGTTGCACTCCATCCATTGGTGTAGACTGATTTTGGTGAAAGTTAATGTGTTTGCCATAGGTGTACTCGTAGTAATGTGTAGCTTTCCAAGACAATACCTTTTCATCATTTGGTACGTCCCAGAAAAACTCGAAAACATTCCAGTTCAGTGGCATTGTTCCCAGTGTACAAGATGGCCGTCTTCCACTTTGGCTGCCATCAAACTGGTGGGATTTGGAACAAAATTGACAGCATCCTGCCAATCCCAGGTGCGGACTGCTGGTGGTTACTGACAATGACAGGTGGTTGTGTTGTGGAGGTTGTGGGGTTGAGGTTGTGGTTGTGGGAGGCTGGTGTGGTGGGGGAGTGGGGGATGGTGGCCTTTGTTCTAGGATCAGTCTGAGGCAGCGGCGTGGGGGCAGCGTGGGTGGCAGCATGGCCCACAGCTGGTGCCTCCCGCCGGTACCACTAACCACCACACACATTTTCCATCCCAATTGCAACAGTATCTCGTCATTTTCACTGTCAGTTCCTGTTGTACACCACGGGAATGTACTCCGAGATACAACCCTTCCCCTTGAATAGCATATGGCACACTTTCCTTAGCGCATATATCGTCGTATATACTACCCTCACTGGGAAATATTGCATTCACTATCACTACTGGAACTAGTTTGAAGAGCTTGTAGTTACAAATTCACTATCCCTATCTCACCCATGCTCTCAACTGAGTCCTGGATTTGGGAAAAATAGAAGTTTCATCTTGGTTCTGGAACAACTGAACGTGAAACACGAGGCCCAGCACCAAGGTAGGAAGGCTGAGGGTCGTATGGGTTTGTCTTCACTATTACCGATATTTATGTCATTAGTTTCGGTTCAAAACCTCACTAAAACCACGAACTCATCTTCACTGCAACTTCCATCACTATTAGAACTTTCACTGGGGAACACAAGTTTTTCCCAATTCGCCGAAGGAGTGAGAGGAGCTTCTTACCGCGAGCATGGTGGACATTGTTTACTAAGAGGGCAATCCCACAATGGCACCACTGGGTCCCAGATTTTTTTCACGCGCGCACACTGACCACGCAGACCCATCTCTCACACCTAGGCCTATCACCTTTTCGCGCGAGATTTTTGAGGCCGCTAGAATTTAGCGTCTAGTTAAGTCAAAACCCCCCCCTTACCCCGCCCGAAGACTACTAGTATGCCCGAAAACCCTCAAAGGGTTAAAGTGTAGGTTTGAATTGTCGCTGCTTGTTAACGTAGGTCCAGTCAAGCACCCGCTATCCCTTCCCATCCCTCTTCCCCCCCCCTCGAAAGGTGACGTATGGGGGCCTCTGGTCAAACAGTAAATCACTCGACTCGCAGCTCCCAACACTACTGTAAGTACTGCCTGCCTTGTATTCTAGTGGATTTATTGGTTAAAAGCTAAACTTTATGACCAATAATAAACTTTGTCCTTCAGTCATCCTCTAAGTTGACTGTTTTGAATACTTCACCACGTCTTTTGAATAATGTACACTACCAAGAGAGTGATTATTTAAGCAGTGGGTAACCTGTCTATCTTTCCAGCTTGGAATTTCAGAGAGGGTCACTGGCAATCAATCGAGCAGAACAGGATGAGGACTAAACGTCCCAGAGCCTTTCTCCATTTTGTATTGAAGTACCTGTGGCACCTGTATGAAATTGCAGGACAATAACCCCACATCATAGCAGCGGTAAAAGAACCTGCATTCCAGTCATCGGGATATTATACTACCACGGCAATACCTGTGAAGTATCTAGCCAGTGGTGGACACCAACACCTGCGACCCCCACCATCATCACAACGGCTACGATTTCAACAACAGTGTCACCAACACCAGAACCCCACGTTTTAATACATTTAAATTAGCGTTGAATTCAGTTATCATATATATTTGTCATTTTCATTTTCTTTAATGTAGGATTAATACTTCATATTTAAGTGGGTTTACATTTTATATTGTTCTATATAATAAAGTGTTTTATTTTGTCTGTTATTATTTTTCTTTTTCCATTCACTAATTTTCCTGAGGAGAGCCAGCCCTGAGTAATACTGACTGAAGTTGTATACAGGGCCTGAGTAAGCCTTTCCACAAGTGGCGACCTTGCTCAGGATAACTCTACTGAATCAGATTCAAACTCCATCTCGAATCTACCATTGGAACTTCAACGCCGCATACCACAGACAGTTACCACCACCATAGTAATCATTCTCTATTGGTAGGACTACAGTACAGGTATTTGAAAGATTCGGGTGATTGTTATAGTCTCAATTTATATGAGTAATCAAGTCAGCAGGATATAATTGTTAATTCAGGCCACTTTTTCATGTGAGCTTGAAACACTTCGGAGATTAACTCTAGGGACCCCGAGATTTTCCAGTGACCAAGTTGTTTCATTGAGCTCTTATTTATCAAGGGAACGGTCATAGGACACTCTAGATTGTAGGTGAGAAGATTGGATGGTCAAGGGACCCCATTCTACTTACTGTTTGCTCGAGCCGGCACAGAACCCTTCGTTTTCGTGAATACATATTGTTTAATTGAAGCAGGATCGAGCCCTCGTTTTATTTACCATTTTTTGAGCGGAGCAGAATGAACCCTCCATTTCTTTAATACCCGTCCATTTCCCTGATAGTTTAAGTTTATTCTTGCAAGTATGGATGATACCAGTATTTGGATGAACGCTGGAAGTAAGTTAGGAATAACAGGAAAAATTTAGAATCTTTCATTAGTGCTAAGATCCAGGAAAGACTTAGAAGAGAGAGAATTGAGATAAAGAAAAGACAGCTAGAAAGGGAAAG